ATTTTGGAGCTTTGCTCTAGCAGAATATTGAATAATTACCATGTCCTGAAGTAGTGGTGAGGAGAATTAAGTTAGAGCACAGCTTCTGAAACACCTGGAAGAGAGATGAATACCCTTCTGTGGATGTATTATCAAATGACGCAATTTCAGCACTTCCATGGTCAGGGAAAATAGATGAACAGGAAGAAAGCAAGGCAGCTGTGTTTGTTAGAGAATGGACATTAACAGCTCGACCATGACTTTCACCGAGAGGGAAAGCTGTGGTCAGTAATTTCTGGGATGCTGACTGTATCTCTGGGGTGTTTAGCTGCTGGACTCTGTAATACAGTTTTTGATAGAGTTCTTATTGTGCACACACAGACTAAAACTCTGAGGAATGATTGTGAGTAGCCACATTTGGTTGAAGGATCTAATGGAAAACATGATAGCCACAAGTGTGATCTCGCCTTCCAAATTTCCAAGGCCCTATTTCCAAACATGGAAGCACTAAGCTTAAAGCTTTCTTTCCCAAGCAGAGCTGAGAGCATTAAAATGGGCAAAATACAGCATCTTCTTCTCATCTTATTCTTGGGGCCCTCTGGGCAACCTAGCAACAGTGAGGTAAGCACAAGGGAGGGTGGAAATCAACCACAGTAGATACTTGCCAAGAAAAAACATGTGATTGAATTATCTGACTTCTAAAAATTTTGAGTGGAAAATTGCATCTTAACCAACCTTACCAAAAGCAGAACCACTAATTTTACCAGTAAGTCAACTGAGAACAACAACTCCAGAAATTCCTGAACAAGTTAAACATTGCTTCTCCTCTATCGTTAAAGAATTGTCTAAAGAAAACTGAAGATTTTAAGCCATTTACTGATAGTCAAATTGTTTTCCATATTTGGATTTAAATATTTAGGTGGCATCACAGCTGAACCAGAATAAGCAAATCTATTAAGCAGTCAACTTCACTTCAGCTGGAACTGCCTTTCATAGTTCCGCATTATTTAAGCCATTTTCTCTTCTGTAGTTTTGCAGAGAGGGAAGGGAAGCCATTCCATGATATAAGACAGCTCTTACTAGCTTTGCCTTTTTTCCAGCTTGCCACCAGAGAATTCATTCCAAAGCTGCTTATAACATGTACAGATTAATGCTCCCAAACAAATCTTAGTCCAAAAGTATTTACGTTAAGTAGTCCACAAATTATACTCTTCCTCTTGTCCAATAGTTATGAAGCCATCTAGGTGAGTTCAGTGGAATAGTGGCTAGTGTTGATAGTCAAAAAACATTACTAGATTTAAAAAAACTTTGTTCTGGAGGCTGCTTTCTTCCACTTTTCTGAAGTGCTTGGGATATAGTGAACAATGAACGTATTAAGGAAGAACAGAGAAACAGAACATGAGCGGGGAAAAACCTTCATGCTAGAGCAACATGCAAAACTGATCGGCCAAACAATCGCCGCAATCACCAGAGCACCCTCCTGCTGTGTGCCTGTGTAACGTGCATAATTAGTATAACCTACAGGTACCCACCTCACAGCAAACCAGAAACGCCAAATGCCATACCCTAAGACAAACTGCGGACAAATAAAACCACCCGTGCATCTGTCAGAATGAATGTGAGCAACCAGTGGAGAACAGAAGGACCCAATGAAGAATAAGAAAATATTTCTCACCGCACAATTACTCTGCCTCTGACTTCCCACTTCTGCTATCACCAGGAACTGTATCAATCTTGAACTTGGCAGAAATATATTTTCCAGCATATTCCATTTTTTTCCCTGATGTGCCACCTTTTGCCACCACCAAGACATTTCACAGGGAGATACTGCCCTTCCTATTTCTGGCTGGCCCATCCAACTCTCATCACTTGTTCTCACCACTACCACTAAGTCTCCTTCTTCCAGTTGTGCCGGTCCTTCACAGCAGTTTCAGTGTACTTATAGTTTCCCTGATGTGCCACCTTTTGCCACCACCAAGACATTTCACAGGGAGATACTGCCCTTCCTATTTCTGGCTGGCCCATCCAACTTTCATCACTTGTTCTCACCACTACCACTAAGTCTCCTTCTTCCAGTTGTGCCGGTCCTTCACAGCAGTTTCAGTGTACTTATAGAATCATAGAATCACGAAGGCTGGAAAAGACCTCTAAGATCATAAAGTCTGACTGTCGACCCAACACCACCATGTCCACTAAAACATGTCCCTAAGCGCCTCATCTACACGTCTTTTAAATACTTCCAGGGATGGTGACTCAACCAATTCCCTGGGCAGCCTG